TCTCCTTCGAATTTCTGACGTGCCTGCTTTTTATTTACCTATATGCAACGCTGATAGCAAAAGTTTCCCAGAATACCACGGAGAACGATCGATCCTCATCTGTACCACATCGCGAAAAAGTTAATCATAGTAAAATGAACGATCGTTTTACTTTACAATAAGAAAACAGTATCACAAACCAATCGTATTGTAATAATTACTACTTGCACTAAAGTGAGGGAGAGTTGTTGGGATACAAACTACTGCGTGACACTGGTTGTAGGACTGAGTAATATTTGTCCTTGGTTCATATATATGTGTATGGGTACCCCGAATTAAAAACGACCTTGTGTCACATCCCGCCACCGGAAGGCGAGGAAATGCAGTCAAAAATCGTTTCTTGTAGCCTTTCCAAATATTATTATGCATAATTATTTTCTAAAGTTTGGCATAAGGAATATATCATAATCTCTTTTGTATGTTAAACATAATGTCAGAATAAGATAGTAATCTACATATCTTGTCGGCCTCTTATAAATCTCAAGGAAAAACAGAAAAGAGAAGCAAATCTTTTTCTAAGTCCAATCAGGATTTTTTCCCTAGCAAATAAGAAATATCCTCGTCTGTGTCCATAAAATCTGTCACGTTTTATTTGCAATTTATTTTCCATATATTCGTTCTTTCGATGCAGCAATAAATAAAAAATACATATTAGTAAATAAATATAAATAAATATTATGTTGCGCAAGTCATGTTCGCTTAGAGGCATTCGTGATTCTGGCTGTGTGGCAAGGTTGCTTACGATGGCTGACGGGTAGAAAGTTCAAAAACAGATGCCAAGGTCTAGATGATTTTTTATGACACCGTTTGTAAAATTAAAAAGAAATTCTATCTTTGAAATTGGATTCAACTCAATATAGTTATTCCAAAATGTCAAAATTCAGATTTGTAATCCTATCTGATGTTAAAATAGACATAAAATATTTATGATTCAACAAAAAAATATTATTTTCACTATATATAAAGTAGTTCACTTTGATAATTTCTCGAACAACTAACAAATATATGGAAATGTAGATAATTAGGAAAGGTGTATGTATTATGATTTCAGTAAAGTTCGCCCAAAACAAAATACAAAATTATCTAAAGTTAGAAAATTACTGTATGAGGTGCCGCATATATATATATATATATATATATATATATATATATATATATATATATATATATATATATATATATATATAGATATATATATATATATATATATATATATATATAAGAGGATATATATATATATATATATATATATATATATATAAGATATATATATATATATATATATATATATATATATATATATATATAACATTTATAAATGTAAAAGACAATAGGAAAACTGTAATAATTCCGACGCGTTTCGTCCGATGTGGAATTTTTCAATTTATTAAACAAAGTAACTAATAATAACAAAACAAAATGTCCTTAGCAACTGGAAGAATTTAGAGAACGCTATTTTCATACTGTTAACTGAAAATTACGTCAATTACTGTCCCGTGTCGAGACATTGTTTTTATTGCTGTGTTGACGGATTCAACCATTTTCTTTTGATTTCTTGATACTGTTCTGTACGTTTGTTTAGGAGAGTAGTAATTCTGTTAAGAAAGGTGAAATACGGAAAAGACCTGGGCGTAGATTAATATTTGGGTAATTTTAAATGGCGGCACTCTCGAGGAATTTCCCTCCAGTTGCTACGGATGGTTTGTTTTATTATTATTAGCTACTTTGTTTAATAAATTCATTTCGTTTTTGCTTTGAAAAGTCCACATCGGACGAAACGCGTCGGCAACTATTACAGTTTTCCTATTGTCTTTTACATTTATAAATATTGACTTTTTCTACAGGTTTACTCTGAGATATTTTTCATATATAAAGTTATATATAGATATAGAATAAGATATATATCTTATTTTATATCTAAATATAATTTTATTTATATATATATATATATATATATATATATATATATATATATATATATATATATCAGAAAATGTATATGTGAGCCTCATTTCAGAATTGTAGGAAAATGATAATAGATTTAAGTACGAAAATTTATTAAAGAGAAACTGACTCAATTTTTGTATTTTTCCAGCTCCGATTATTTAAATCTTTGTATTCATATATTTTAAACAACCATTGACGTCGAACGAGACGCGCGGTATTCTTTGAATTGGCAGAATGCTATGTCAATATAAATAGAATAGAATGACCTTGTGAAGTTTTGTCTCTGGGAAAGAGTTTGTCATTTAGAAGATAAGTTTGAAGACTGATTAAATGATTTTGATTTCGATCAAGGTTGGTATGCGAAAATTAAACTGTTCCAGTTTCAGCTCTATGCCCTTTTCGTCTAACCTGACTCTTTTAATAGATAACGCATAGCAAAAACAATTATGAACTTCATGGAAGTGATAGAATCAGTGGATCATTTAATCAGCACTTCCTGAAATGAATCGTATTCATGAGGTCTGAAGTGAACTTGATATTTGTTCAAATCATGATGTCTTGTTGAGAGTGGATGCTTTTATTATGATTAGAGAAAACGCAGTGTTTGATCGGCGATGATCAAGTGACACTCACGTTGTTTTTGAGACATTGAAAATTACGAGCCAATCCATTCTCATTGAACATGTCAGCGAAGAATTCTGCTTCCAGGTCTCGACCATCTTGATTTTTTTTTAAAATGAGTCCATAAACTGGTACCATCTTCTTAGATGTTATAAATCATCTGAGAATGTTCCTCGTAAGATCGTTAAAAAAGAAACATCAAAAAAAGTCATAAACAAAAAAAAAGAAAAAAAAGAAAGATGGCAGGACCGAAGAGAATGTCTGCATTGATTTCAGTGGCTTCAGAAAACTAGCCATTCACTAGGACCTTCAAGAAGCTACCAGAGAGAAACATGATCATGTGTACTCTTCCATAGATGGCATTACTTGAGTTAGTGTTGTAATACACTATGCCACACATTGTTAAGTGGTTACTGATATCTAAGATAACGGCTCTATAAACTAAGATTCCTCCGAGTTCTTCCATTCTGTGAGTAATGACATCTAAAACATCAGAAGGGAGTTTCAAGTGCGAATAGTGTTTATAGCTCAGGTGGTTCTTTGTGGTGAGGTGATCAACTATCTTCTTGCTGATAACAGATTCAACAAGTTACTAATATTACTAGATAGATTGTTGAAGCGATATTACCAAGAAGACGAACGTTCACCCGAGTTCTTGGAAAGGGTGCAAACAGCTTACAAATTCCAGAGACTTTGGAAGAATAACTCTTTCAGTCAGCGATTAAGAACTTTAGCGATATTCAAGATAATTCACGGCTAAGGATCTTAAATAAACATCAGCGATTTTATTCTTACTAGTATCCTTTGGAGAATTATCGTTTGATGATTCTATAAATTTCATTATCAAAGATAATGCGGCCAAAAAGCTTGTGTTTCATAAGAGTAGAAATCATGTAGGAAATGACCACAGTCGTCTTGCATGATGTTTTCGGCAATGTTCATTGCAAAGAGCTGTTGTCTGAGATGTAGGACAAAAATGAAATACTCCCAGGGATATTAATAATAGCAAACCGGGATTATTTAACTCTCTTAAGATAAATTTTGGCGATTTTGCAGAACGTTACGACAAGAATACGTCTTCTAGCAAGAACGCGTTATGTGACGATGTACAAATATGATCAATCTCAAGTTAGAAAATAGGCAAAATTATAGATTAATAGCAATGAGAAAATATAACAAGATTTATAATGTAGGAAAATAAAAAATCTATATAGCGGATAAAAGACAATGTTTTTTCTGTAGATCTTAGCATTCTCAGTAAAATATCTTTTTCTTCATTATTAAACTGGAATATGATTTCTTTTCAATTAAAAATAACGCCGTTTCACTTTCGTGTAAGACCACAGACAATAGCAGCTACTGAACTGAGGATGATCTTTTCTTGATAAAGTTTTTAAAATGAAAGATTTGATAAATTTTAACAGCACTGTCTTTTCGGTCTACGAATGATGCATGTTTCTTTATGAGGAAAAGACTAATATTACCATTGTCACTGCCAATGATATATTCATTTCTTGGGTGATCAGCGGATAACATCGTTATTGTTGTAAACAAGTCTTTTCAGATTAAGTTGACCTGTTTCTTTTATTGTTTGGTGGGATCTCGTCTAGGCTCATTAGATCAAACGTTGGAACTTAACGCTTTTACAAAAGTAGGGCATCTGAAAAGGCATTAAATGGAAATAGAGGAAGGATTTTGAGTATGACGTCTTAGGCGACATTCCTCTGCTGATGGAATCAAATTTGAACACACGTCAACGACTGCGGCCATTACCAGCAATTTTTTTTGACTGGTTAGAAAAGATATTAGATTTCTTCATGATGTCACTGATATGACCTCTGTATTGCTTTTGATTTTTAAAATAGTTCGCAAATGTCGATTTAAAGGACCGAAGATTCGCAATTATATCAAAATGTTGAAACACAGATTGATTTGTTATCAGTCTTGTAGTTTTTACATTTGATATCACTGTTCTGTAAGGCCCTTAGGAAAATACATCCAAATTCTGAAATTCTTCTACTAGTTTAAGACTGTTAGAAAACCCGGAGCTGTGGACATGCCAAGACGTGAATTCTTTACGTGAATGTAGACGGATTTTTTTTTTTTTTTGCTGTAAGATATCGGTTTTCTTAGCTATAATGTTGAACAAGAATGACTTTAGACATCCTTCGTAGCGTTAGGTTAAAGGCAAAAAAGGCAATGGCTGATGAGAAAATTCTCATCCGCATTTCGAAGCTGAAATATCCAGATGAAAAGTGAAAATAGGAAACGCAAATCCATTGCCATATAAAATTACATAATTATGCCTATAAAGTCACTTTCACAACCCTGAAAAATCCTGTTTCACCCATTCTCCTCCTTTTTACTACTCGATTAATTATTATTACCAGATAATTACAATTTTGCAACTGACTGATTTTGAAAATGACTATAATACGCAACTTAGTCTCTTTTTCTGACAACTGTATAGGTTTTGTTTTTTAATTGAAACTAAACTAACAATTGCGTTACTATGTA